GATTCTAGGGCCCAACATAGATATGAAGGAAAAATTTATCATCCCTAGCCGTATAGATATAGGAATTATAATAAAGAGCACTTAGTGTTGTTAGAAGAGCTAAAATGTGTGTTTAATAAAGTGAATTTTACTGTTTTGTACTGTACAGATCAAGTTGTAAAATCGGGTATGCTGTTTTCTTCCTCAATAAGTGAGGAGATTGAGATCTTGAATGTATTTTCTTCTAACTTATTGAAAAACAGAAGTCCGACCACCAAATTGAACATGTATCGCATAAGAATTTAATGCACGACGCATTAGTTTTTTACCAAAGTTTAGAGTATTGAAATCATATGGTTGAAAAAAATTTCACACATTAAGGGGACATTAATCCATCACTTTGTGTTTCTTTTAAGATGAAAATCGTCTTTTTACACCAGAAAGATACCTCTCGCATATATGTATATTTGTATGCATGCGTTAAAGTGTAAAAGCAAGGGATAATATAACTAAGCAAGAAAGCAATTGCTTTTAGCTATGTTGTGCATTGTCGAGAATAATCAAATTGGCCTCTTGACCTCTCTAATACCAATTATTCCCTGTATTTTGTTCTAATTCAGGTCAACTATGAAAGTTGACTGCTACCATAGTACATGAACAATTCAACCGTAGTTTTCCTGACAATGAAACAAAATTTTATCTTCAATAAATTGAATTCCCTTTCATCATCACTCCCTACTATTCATTCCTACATCTTTAAAATAATTAAATCTTTTAACAACTACATGTCAAATGTCATTTTAGTTTACTTTATCCCCCCATCGTCTAACCTATTCTAGCAAGACGAGACTGCTTCATTCTGGGAGTTGAAGCCAAATTTCAAGTTGAAATCAAGAATAGCATCATTTTATATAGAATTCTTACTGTCATTAACAAGTGATGTATATTTGTTGTCAATCAGACTATTTTGAAAGCCGACCACCTTGCCTTCAAGAATTCTTTAAGTAGGAAACAAAAATATCTAATTTTCGCCAACAAGCTTAATTCATTGAATATAATAACCGTTATTGTTACACATTTCGACTACATTTGCAGCTGCAAATTACAATTTTATGTAGAACAGACTCAGTTAACACTAAATAGAAATTTGATGATGATTCTCAATATACCGATAGGACTCCATTATTTGGATCATAACTTCTAATCAGGAGAACATTTTCATGACAGATGAGTTCTTAGATGATCTTTTATTTCCTAACCAATGTTGCATGTGAACTCCAATCGCATCCAAATACATGCCGCTCCTCCCATGAAAGCCAACCACCTTCCCTTCTGTGGTATTTGATGTGAAAAAACCACCCAACTCTTCACCAAATGGACCGTATTTTTTCCGAGTTGTATAAAATGTCAAGGATTTTATGACTTCTGTTCCCTGGTCCTTGCTGATAGGACCATAATATCCACTTATGCAAGTTAATACTTCATGAGGATATTCCAACTTTACCTGAAAAATGCACCTACGTGTTGATGGGGGTGATATTCAAATCTCGCATAACAAATTGCCATATTATTAATAGAAACAAATACACTGAACAGGTTATCAACTAGCAAGGCATAACAAGTTAATCACCAATTTTCTACATTCATGATAGAGACATTAGTTGAATGGTGTTCATGCTCAACATGCGTCACTATGTGCACAGATAAAAAATGCCCGCAAGTATCCTGACACATCCTGTATTGCATAAAAGCTACTGATAATTAGCTATGATGCTTATACCTGATTAGTTATTTGTCCACCATTGCCACCATGTTTTACTGACCAAACAGATTGCCCATTTCGATCATACTCAATTTCAATAGAGCAAATGGCCTCCATTCTTGTTAGTTTGATCTGTTTAATCCCAAAGAATACTCCATCGTCCCAGGGCTTTCCACCATTTCCACCCCATGGACCAGGTCCATATGGAGCTGGATCTTTCACCAGTCGTTCGACAACCTAGGCAGATTTATCTAGCTTTAGGACTCGTATGCCAATATAAACGTTTCAAAAGTAAAGTCATGTGAATGTCCATAATTAAAACACTAATAAAATTAGAGACGTTGTGTTAACTTGTGCAGATAGCTGTAAATAAGTAACCACACGATACCTCCCCGTTTTGTGCTTGCTTTCCTATTTTTGAAAACCATTGGGGAATATCAGCTTTGTGTTTTAACACTGAAGTTTGGTTGTTGGACATGGAGGTGGAATTTGATGTAGGAATTTTGTTTTTGGACTCGGTGGGGGATCCTGCATTTTGGTCGCTGTTGGAGAGAGGATTTGATGCAGGCACAGCTTTCCCTTCTAGCACATGGACGCCGATTGCATCGATAAACAATCCATTCCTTCCATGGAATCCAACAATCAGCGATCTTTCTTTCAAATGAGTTGAGAAGTGCTTCCCTTCTTCTTCTCCATAGGGGCCATATTTTCTCTTTGTAGTATGAAAAGTTAGTGACTTGATGATTTCAGGGCCCATAATCATTGTAGGTCCATAGTAGCCCGTTACGTGAGCCAAGATTTCTGATGGGTAATCGAACACAATCTGCAAAGAAAAAACAATTTCCAGAGTCAATATGATTTTGATGCAAAAGGCATAGGATAATTTTCAAATTGGACTTCTTCAAATGTGCAACCTTATCTTTTTTAAATCCTCCAGTGCCTCCATTTTTGCTTCCCCAGACAGCTTGCCCATTTTGATCATAGCAAACTCTTAAAGAAACAATTCCCACATTGCGTGATAAATTAATTTGCCTGATGCCATCATAGACCCCATCATCAAATAGGCTTCCACCATTACCACCCCATGGTCCATATGTCAAAACTCCTTTGACATTTTTAGAGGGGACTCTCTCAATTTTGTTGGAGTTTACACGTGCAATCTGAAATATATTTTCACCAAAGTTCACGTTCTGCAAAATAAATTAGAAAAAATGCAAGAACTTTAAAAGAATTTTTATCAACAAGAGATCCATTCACCTCATTCTTGGGTTTTGCATAGCTGGAGTCACGAGAAGTCTGCCTTGAGAGGTGATATGCGGGAGAATTGTTGCGATCATCCTTGTTTCTAACAGCAACAATAAGTTCATAGTTTGTACCAAGGCCTCCTTGGATCATCGAGTATTCACACTTCTCAGTCTGATGGAAACCATAATTCCGAGACTGAACGATAGAATTTGAAGCAATAGGTTTATGAATAGGCTCCAAATAAACGCCAATAGCATCCAGGTACCAGCCACAATTTCCATGGAAGCCAACAATCTTGCCACTTGTTGGAAATGAAAAATAAGTACCTTGTTCAATGCCATAAGGCCCGTAAGTTCTTTTATTGCTTTCGAAAGTAAGTGATCGAAGAAAGACTGGTCCCCATGCTTGTAAGCTACCATAATGTCCATGAATTGAAGTTAGGAACTCATCTGGGTAATCAAGCCTGACCTGGAAAATTTTCACTTTAACCCATTCAAAATGGTTTCGATAACCTGAATTAGTTTATAAAAGTTGGAGAAAAGAATCCCATAATTTGAACAAAGTTCTTTCAGCCAATAAATAAGAAAAATCCTTCCATGTAAACCGAAGTTAGAACAACAGAGGTCCTCCAAAGAAGGTAGTTGAGATATGGGACAAGAGTTTTAAGTTTCAATTACATGATCATCACAAGTGAATCACTCAGAAAACTTACAGAAGAAAATTAAACCTTGAAAGCATGGAATGAGATGGATCAGTTGTTCTCAAGACTATAAACTTACCTTGTCAGTTTTAGCCCCTGTATTGCCACCATGCTTTTCTGACCAAACTGAGGCCCCACTCCTATCATATTCAATCCTAATCGAAACTACTTCAGCTCCATGAGTTATCTCCAATTGCCTTACTGTGGAGTAAACTCCATCATCCCAGTGAACTCCATCTTGACCTCCCCATGGCCCGACAGATATGATGTGTTTTCCAGAATTCTCGAAACTCTGTACATGAATCCCCATAGTTAGTCAATGGTTAATCGTATCTATCAACTACACAATCATAGAGCATAATAACAAGCAATTAGAAAATGCATTTTCACTTACCAAATTGGAGTAATGATCCATAAAGTTAACAAAGGATAGATACTGAAGGATGAATTGGCGTTTTAAACTTCAACTGATGAAAGGCCGGGAGGTATACATTAGACTTCATGGTGTGAAGGACATATAAATATATGCTCTTGGAATAGTAAAACAGTCCAGACGCATGTAAATGTACCAAATTCGGGTTTCCACTTCGGAAGGATAGCATTCAAAAGAAAGGATTCTGATTCCCAAAAGGTGAACCTTTACAAAAGTGCTTGGCTTTTATAAAGTCTTAGTACACCTTGAGGTGTCAATATTTGACATTAGCCTGGATCATCCAATGAATATAATAATGCCAAATATTCAAATACGCCAAATCAATCAAAAATTCTTTAAAGTATACTATTTCATGGTTTTACTTCAAATGAGGTGCGGCTTCTACCTCAATTTTACTTCCTAATCTCCCTAGAATTTCCCATATTATTAGGTGCAAAATATATTCTCTATCCTTTTTTTCATTTTTGATCATTTCCCATAGAATTTCTCTACAGCTCATCAGAAGGTAACTTCATTGCATAAATTGGTTAAAGGTTTTAAAAATAGAACTCGACAGTTCGAATAAACAGACAGGAAGGGCACGGTTTTCTGAAGCAAAAGATTTTTAATTCAAAAGTATTTGTAGAATTCTGATAAACGTGAATAGACTATTAACCTTACGGTAGTTTGCAATTTCAGCGACCACAATAGTAATTCCTGAATTTAATTGCTTTAACAGCCAGCCATCATTAAAAAATTAAGATAAAGTTAGAAACTTATGCACAAAAATGGCAAGCACGAAAAGGGAAAAAATGGAGTACTTGATAAATTCTGAACAATGAAGAAACTATGAAATGGACAGAAATATCAAAAGAGCGGAGGCATAAAAACGGTTAGGTATTATTCATCCTTTAAAATGCCACTACTTTGAAATTGGGGAAAGCTTACAATCCTCTCTGTGATCAATATGAGGACAACTGAAACTCGTGGGGAGTAATAAATTTGTGTATTGACAAAGATCATTTACTAAAAGTAAGTGTCACGCAGATAGTAACACTTATACAGTCATGAATGGGGCCACAGATAAATAGTAACACTTATACAGTCATGAATGGGGCAACAGATAAAAATAGCATTCACTCAGCTCAGAGTCAAATGATGCACAGCTATTATACTTTAAGAGCTGACCCTTTAAACAAATGTGTGTGTTTGTGAGAGAGAGAGAGAGATCCTTAAGTCTGGCTATTCTCCAAGCAACAACATTATAGTAATTCCACTCCTTGCTTCAAGCTTTCAACATACCCTCCAACCACTCCCACTTGTGTGATTAGTTTCATATAGCGTCTTTGACATATTTAATTGAAATTATGAATACATCTTTTTGTTTTCCAATTTCAAATGTCAAAGCAACAAACATGGACAACAAACAAGAGGATTGAAAGAATGATCACTAAAATGAAATATGTATTCTTTCCATTTTACAAGGTAGAACAATGATATCTACATGATAGGATATATACACTTTGACAAAAACATGTATTCCTCATCCTTTCCACCATTTGATGCATAGCTGATGGACGAAATGATATCCTTCATCCATCAATGATAACCTTCATCCATCAACAATGCCTCGGGTGAATGACACTGTGTCCAAATTTTCGGACAAAATATGTCAATTACACACCCAAAAGAGGGTAAAAAACAGCATCCAGGTAACTAAATGATGTGATTCTACAAAGACAGAGCTTCAGTTCTTTAAAAGCCTCTACAGCTTCTAATGGTCCAAAACTTTACATCCACACCTCAAGGACGCTGATTCCTGTGATTCATCTTATCTACCAATAGTCACCACAAGAACACATCCCATGTTTGAAATGGTGTATGCATTTCGAATCACTTAAATATATTTCACACCCATGCGTCTTAGTGACCAATTTGGCAACCCCATGGCAATGCTCACACATTCTCAGGTTCTTGACAATCCGTATATTTCGAGGTGTTTGAGGAGATCTGATGAGGTAAAAAGACAAAGCAAGTTTTTCACTATGAACTCCTCCGGTTTCTTCCATCTCTTCTTCCTGAATGCTAAGCCTATCACGGTACTCTGTTTCCTTGGATTTTATCTCTGTGCTCCTTGTATAAGAAAGTAGAAATTTATCATCTAGCTTATGATGACCACCAGCAACAAAAGAATGCACTACATTTTTGTCTTCAATCCAGCTACATCCTAGATATTCTTTAGGATCGTTTCTTTTTCCAGGCCTTCTCATTTTGAAAGATTCCCTGGAAATCCCACTTAAATCATATAGCTGTGAAACCAACCTGCGAACCAGGGCATTTTCTGGTTCCAGTTCAAGCAACCGCTTCCCAGCATAGACTGCCAGTTTGACATTTCCGTGGGTACAACATGCAGTTAGTAAACCAGACCAGATAGAGACATCTGGCTCCACAAACATATCTTTAATGAACTTAAATGCTTCGTCAAGCTTCCCTGAACGACCAAGTAAATTTACCATTGCTGCATAATGATCTAGACAAGGTAAAACATGATAATACTCCGGCATTCTAGAGAAAAGATGTCTCCCTTCATCAACCATCTTAGCTTGACCGTAAGCCGAAATCATACTTGCTAATGTACCTCTGTTTGGTCTAAATCCCTCTTTTCCCATCTGTTCAAAGAGCTGGATTGCATAATATGGACAACCGTACAGGACATAACCACCAATCATTGTGTTCCAGGTAATGATATCTTTGGTTGACATTTCATTAAACATGGATTTTGAAGAAATGATATTCCCCGACTTGGAATACGTGTCTAATAGGGAATTTGCAACTGCAAGCTCAGACACTAAATTGCTACGTAGGGCATAGCCATGGATCTCTTTCACCTTTTTCCCAGCAATTAAATTTGCACATGCAGGTAAGATGCTCAAAATAGTAACTGAATTGGGTTTTACACCAAAAGACTGCATTTGCCGGAAGATGCCCAATGCTTTATCTCTCTGTCCATGCTGTAAGTAGCCAGCAATAAGAGCATTCCATGATGCAGTGTCTCGCTTAATACCTCCATCCTTCTCCATCCTTTGAAAAAGATGCATAGCTTGATCTTCATCTCCACTTTGAATGTAACCTGTGATCATCACATTCCATGTAATGACATTTGGTAATACATCTGATTTCTGCATTTTCATAAAGAGGTCATGTGCTTTCCCACAGTAACCAGCTTGGCAATATCCACCAATCATCGAGTTCCAAGTATAGACATCCTTCTCCAAAATCATATCAAACACCTGCCTAGCAGACTCAAGTTTCCTGCACTTGGAATATAAATCAACAAGTGAATTCCCCACTAGAACATCTTCACCATACCCCACCTTCATGGCGACCAAATGAATTTCCTTTCCTTTCCTTAAATTTTTCAAAGATGCACAAGCTGAGATAGCACTCATGAGCGTAACCTCATTAGGTCCAACCCCAGACAGAAGCATCTCCCCGAATAATTCTAATGCCTCCAACCTCCTATTATTTTGTGCAAGCCCCGAAATCACACTAGTCCAAGTAAAGACATCTGGCATGATTCCACAATTCTCCATCTCCTTCATCATTTCCATGGCAATGTCACACTTTCCCAACCGGTTATAACTCGAAATCAATATATTCCAAGTGACAACACCTGGTTCAACGCCTTCTTCACACATCAAATCAAACAATCTGCGTGCCTCCTTTATCTCGCCTTCTTGACAATAACCAGTTATTATTGCATTCCAAGAAACTATATCCTTCACCTCCATTCCTTCAAAAAACCTCTTTGCAGAGTTCAACCACCCACATTTTGAGTAAACAGCGAGGATTGAATTATTCACGCGAACTTGGCTATTCATCCTGCATTTAGTAACTATTCCATGAATCAATCTCCCCGTCTCCAAATCACCACAGTTCCCACAAGCCTGTAAAATCTTGGGAAACAAAAAATCATCCGGAACAATATTATCACTCTCCATCATTGAATAAAAAAGCTCCACCACTTCACCCCACTTCTTCTCCCTCGAGCATGCCCCAATTATCGCAGACCACACGTACAAATTCCTCTCACTCATTGCATCAAACACTTCAAATGCATTTTCAAGTGACCCACATTTTGCATACATACTAACTAACTTCGTTTCAACAAACGGGTCTGAGTCCTTTAGCAATTTTCTTACATAGCCATGCAGCTTATAGCATAAGTCAAGTGAACTGGAGTCGATGCAGGAGTCAATCAGGTGCGAAAGAGTGTTGGACTTTACCGTGGATCCGCAATTAACTATGAAGTCTAAAGAGGCCATGGCTTCATTGAGGCGCCCATTTTTGCAGAGATTCTTTAAGTGGGCATCTAATTTTGAGTCAGGTTTTGGAGGGGCATTTTTTAAAGATATCAAGGGTTTTGCTGGCCTGTGGGAAATTTCCGGGATTTTCGGAGTTATGGTTTTGCAGGGAAGAACTATACTCTCCATTGGAGAGTGCTTTTTCTCCTTTTCTTCGAGTTTTTATGCGTCTGTAGAAGATTTTCCTGAGCACAAACAATTGCAGAGATCACCTGTGCTCAAGATTTGGAGACGACAACGAATGGAGCCAATTATAATGTGCCACGTCGCCGCTTATCCGATCGCCAATTGTAAATGGGTCTGATCAGCCTTACTGGGTCCAATTTTGAAACTGAACTTGGGCAAGCTGGTCCATGCAATTTTGGGCCATAACGTCAAATTGCGCAAGTGGAAATTACCCACTCATGTTTTATGGGGAACAATAGTTAATACATAAATAAGGTGGTTACTATCAACAATTTCATTTTTAAGAAATTAGTTTTAAACTATCAAAAATCAGGTTGTAATTAAAATTTATTGATTTGGTAAATATTAAAAATGCTTTATCAATTAAATATATTAAGGTCACAATTATACAATTTTATGGTCATAGTAATAGTTAACCACTTATAGATTACAACTTATTCATCGGTCACAAATTATTAAATTAATGGATCAAACATTATTTTTTTGGTCATAAATCACAAATTTTATACGTCACAATTTATTTCTCGATCAAAAATTTTATGGGTTACAAATTATCAAATTAATAAATCAAGTATTATTTTTAGATCACAAATCACAAATTTTATAAGTCACAATCACAACTTATTGATAGCATATTATCAAATTAATAAGTCATGCATTATTTTACATCACAAATATCAAATTTTATATGTCATTAACATATTTATGGTCACAAGCTATCAAATTTATTAGTCACAAACACTTGAATAATTGGTCATAAACCCTCTTTATACAATCCCAACCTACCATTACCTACACCATCAAACCACCAGGTCTACCACCTTCACTGTCACCACCATCACCATTAGGGGTGGACAAAATATTCAAACCAGACCAAACCAAATCAGAATCAAACCAAGTGGTTTGGTTCGGTTCTATCAAAAAAATTAATGGTTTTGATTCTTTGAACTGAGAACTATTTGATTTTGCATCCTCACCACCTACACTATATCTGCACCACCACCAATCGAACGTCATGCCACACCACCACCATTGGCAACAACAAAAAACTACTAAATTTTGGAAATCATAAACAACCACCAACAAAATCACCTCCTCGAAATAGATCCAAGAATGAAAAAAATACCAAAACCACCAAAAAACTGCATAGCGGCATTCTGCAAATGTGTGTGTGTGAGAGAGAGAGAGAGAGTTAGTAAAATGATTTAGGATTTGGGAGTTAAATTGGGTTGGGGTGAATGGCACCTTTTTTTTTTTTTTAACTTCTCAATTCAAAAATCAAATTTAAAAATTTTTGATTCAAAAGTCAGGTGATAATTCAATATTTAAATATTTAGAATAATATATAAATTTTAATTAATCTGCATTTCCACCCCACCCTTCACCCCACCCAATTTAAATCTCAAACCCTAAATCATTTTATTCTCTCTTTACCCATCCATCCCCATCCTCTCTATTCCAACAATCGGTGTCGCGCATAGAAGTGCCTCTACCGGTCCTTCGCGACGTTACAGATCGGTGAATGTCATAAAGGTGTCACCGATTTGCAATGTTGCCTTACTGTGTATAGAGCTAAGTGAGGCTTCATGCTACGCACTACAACCATGCATAGCAGCATTCATGTGATTTTGTGGTAGATTTGGAAAAGAACGTCGCTATGCGACTTTTTTGGTGATTTTGATATTTTCTTCCTCCTTAGATTTGCTTAATAGGGGTTGTTTGTTAGTGGTTTGTGATTTCCAAATTGTAGCGTTTTTTGCAATTGCAAATGGTGGTGAGATGGCACGACGTTCGATTGGTGACAGTACGATGATCGTACAAGTGGTGGGGATGGCAGAGTAGCGGGGGGCAAGGATAGATGGAGATGATAGTTGTGATTGTTGAAAAAAATTGTGGTCTTGCTGGTTGGCAATGATGATCATGGTTAGATAGTTGTGGTGATGGTGATGGTGATGGAGGTGACAGTGAAGGTGGTAGTTCGGTGTTGCAGGTAGTGGTGGGGTTGGATTGTATGAAGAGGGTTTGTGACTAATAAATTTGATAAATTTGTGACCGTAAATAAGTTATAACTTATAAAATTTGTGATTTGTGACCTAAAATAATGCGTGACCTAATAATTTGATAATTTATGACCAATAAGTTTTGATTGTGATTTATAATTTTTTTTATTAATGATCTATAAATAATACGTAATCTATTAATTTGACAGTTTGTAACTCATAAAATTTCGATGATGAAATTCTTGGCCAAGGTGTACTCATAAGTCGAAAAGGAGTTTTCGAAGTATATTGACTTAATAGTAGAGTGAAAGATATGATCGATGATCGAGATTGACACAATTCCATATCTCGTAATTGATCGGATCATATTGACGAAGGGATTATAGTCTCACGCTAAACGAACGAATTTGATTTTGTCATACCACGTGATATTTCCCGTCACATGTATTGCCTTGACACATTGCTAGATGTCAATCAGGGACGACGAGTGTGAATTGACGATAAATTAAAAGGGTGTTTTAATTTATCAATTTTGATTAGATCAAAATAATATTTCACATCGTTAGGCATCGTGAAAGGGAACCAATGGGTCGCACACAAAAGAGAATTGAAAAATTGCAAATTACCAATTGATTAATTTAACAATCGTTGGATAAATTAATTAATTGAATTTGTTATTTATATTCCCGAATTAATTAATTCACGGACCGAGTTTAATTAATTGGATTAATTAAATATTGAACCGGACTGGACCGAGTCCGTTTGGGCTTATATAAATACATAGCTAGGGTTTGAGGTCCATATGATTTTCATTATTCTTGCTGACACAAGAGAAAACCCTAAAAGTTGCAACCTTATTCTCTGTGTGGATCATCGTTGGAGGCTGGACAATTGGATAGCTGTGGTGACAAATCAAGGTTGATGGAACTGAAAGAAAAGCAAAGAAGTTTGCAGATCTGAAAAAGGTACAATTTTATCACAATTCCTATCTAAACACAAAGGCGATTCTTAGTGGGAATCGAAAATTATTTTAAATTCCGCTGTGCATGTATAAGAAGATTCCCAACAGACCTGACTTTATTACATTCACAAGAGCTGCAGGAAACATAATAAAAGTCTTCGTAATAAGTAGATTATTTCAATTTTCAAGCCGAAAACAAGTTAAAATGCATAGAATTTCATATCAAAGCAATATCAAGCAGTAACAGTAGCATGCTTGTCGATTGCATCCTGCAAATTTTCCTTCCTTGCACCGACGACCCTATCCACTTCTTTCCCATCCTTGAGGAACAAGAACGTTGGCATGGCCTCCACGTTAAATTCTTCAGCAACATCCTGCCGATCGAAGAAATTAATTCATGATTTTGCTTCTGAATCGAACAATGATTCAATAGATTACTAATGAGTAAATTACCCTTAGTTCATCCACATCCACCTTCAAGAATATAACATGTGGAGTCTTCTTCGCAATCTCAGCAAAAATTGGGGAAATAACTCGGCAGGGCCCACACCATGAAGCAGTGAAATCGATCACGACCTGATAGAAAACAAGAGGATTCAGAGTCGGTGTTACCAAATCAATAGAGGCCAGAGTTAACCCGAATCCCCAAAAATTGGTCGATAACCGATCCTTCAAACCCAGTAACAGTAAAAATTATGAAAAGAAAATTAACTGATCATACAAGAAAAATAAACAAAAAGAAGTGCAAAAGTTTTAATTATTACCAATTTCTTGGTCTCGATGCCCTTATTGAAGTTCTCCTTCCACTGATCAACGGAGTGGCAACCGATAACCTGTCCTTCTTCAGCCATTTTTTTTCTCTCTCACGAAAACCCAAATTTTAAATTCTGTGGTGAAACCGACGTGCTCCGACGGTTTATAAAGGGGGAGGGGAAAACTGAATTTACCAAAATGTACTATTTCTTCCTGTCAATTACAAACTTGCCGTCCAAGATTCCAAAAGTTGATGGGTATCTAATGACGTCATTATATTCGTTGCTTACCGTGACGTAAGAACATAGGTCATTTCTGAATTTCTTGTGTTCTTCAGTGGGAATGGTCAATTTGACCTTTACGATTAGGGCATACGTGGCGATCGGATAAGAGACGTAATTGGCCGTACGATTATAATCACAAGACGATGATCGCGCTTCCATTCGAGAGCATTCACGGGATTGGTGCATAGGGGAACCGTGTTTTGCTATGCCGTAGATTTAAGGTTGACTTGTTTGCTGACCTTAGTCCAACGGCTGAAACTTTTTCACAATTTTTAAAGGTTTTTGAGCATTTTGCGAAGCTCGTGTAAATGCATCAAATGTTCAAACTATAAATCTTTCTTAGAAAATTATTTCATATGTTTATCATTGATTCTTTCAAAATTTCTTTTTTCTACAAACTCATTTTTAACAACATATTTATAAGAAAAGTATTCCACTTATAAATTCAAATTTCTTTTCATTTTTGATCAAAAATTCACTATTCAAAATAATATTTTTTCCAAAAAAGACTCCCAAACTAGGGCATGGTAAACTCTAAACAACACTATTTTTGTTTTAAAAAAAAATTAATTTTTAGGTTTTCTTTTAATTTATCACAATTTTTTTAATTACATACTGTTAAAAAAAATCACATTTTATATAATCATTTTCAGGCAATCACTAATTATCCGTTAAAAAGATTAGGCTTTATAATGAATGAAATTAAACGAAAACCTATGAAAAAATTTGTATAGCATTTATTTGAAAAGTTTATTCAAATTTTATTTTTTCTTAAACTCGCTATCAATCACATTCTCCTAATAAAATAATTTTATACTTGAATCTATAACTTTTTCCTCTTCCTATTCTTTAATCATATATTTTTCAAAAAATTATTTTCCACTTTAAATAATTTATTAAAAAAAAACACTTAGACGTGTGTCTGTGACGTAGCGGAAATATTATAGGGAAGATGAACAATCACAAATTGAGAAAATTCTCAAAGAAGATTTTATTGAATTCAAGAATTACTGCCTCTAAAGGCTTACAACTGATTAAATAGAAGAAAAACCTAAGAAAATCCGAAAAATAAAATAAAATAAAAAGATATTTTTTTCCAAAAATGAAAAATATGAGATAATTACTAAGATGGAAAATACTTATCTTCAGGATCATCTCACAACAAACGGAATCTAAATCCGAATTTCATGGAAAGAGATATTGCAAAAATGAAAATTACCATAAATAGCAAAAACGATTAAACAAGAGCCTAAACGATGGATTTTGCCAGAAATTGGCCTTGCATCAGGGCCAAAGGTGCTGAGTTTTATTCCTTGACTCGACTCCAATTAAATTAGACTAGCGGTTTGCCAAAAACGAGCAAACCCAAAGTCGTCATGAAATCATGTCCTTTTTGCCAACTTTTGTCTTGTGATGGTCCCATTTTGCCATGAACTCTAATCCCTTATGCACTTCATCATTTTCCCCAAGGTGGGAAAAATTCACCCTCGAATTTGACGGGAAAGGAGCTTCATCATCATCATCATCAGAATTATCACCATGAATGGCACCAAATGCTTGATACTGAACACGTCGGAGGTACGAATATGGCTGGGCAGCTTTAAACGGTAAGCATTCAGATTGATCTTCTCAATGACCTCCAATGGACCAATCTTCTTCGCAGTAAGCTTGTTGTATTCATGAGCAGGAACACAATCCTTTGTTAACACGGTCCAAACAAAGTCACCTACCTCAAACTCAACATGTCGGCGTTTGAGATCCGCAGCACGCTTATACTCAGCGACAGCAGCCTGCAGCTGATCATGAGCTTGTGAGTGAACCTGCTGCAGTTGTTGAATAAAGTCTTCGGCCTTACCATGCATTTTAACAGAAGTGGAAACTTGAACCAGACCAAGAGGACCACGAGGAACAAGGCCATATACCACCTGGAACGGACTAAAACCTGTACTTCGGTTAACAGCATGATTGTGAGCGAATTCTGCTTGACACAACTTCTGATCCCAAGACTTGATGTGATCACCAACCAAACAACATAGTAAATCACCTAAGGAACGGTTAACAACCTCTGTTTGACCATCTGTTTGAGGGTGATATGCACTGCTGAAATCCAGTCGTGTATTCACAGAGCGCCATAGGCTGCGTCAGAAGTGGCTGAGGAAACAAGTATCCCGATCGGGCACAATAGATGTAGGCAGTCCATGAAGGCGATAAACTTCACGAAAATATAGTAAGGCTACATTGACAGCATCTGTAGTCTTCTTGTAGGGGATGAAATGTACCATTTTTGAAAACCGATCAACCACTACGAAGATTGAATCAAAACCACGCTGGGTCCTGGGAAGTCCCACAATGAAATCCATGCTCACATCTGTCCAAGGCTGGGTTGGGATATGTAGGGCCATATACAAGCTCGCATTGGTCGCTTTGTCCTTGGCCAAGTGACAAATCCGACAACGTTCCACAAACTTGCTGACATCTTTGCGCAATGATGGCCAAAAGTAAGAAGTAGTAACAAGCTGCAATGTTCGGTCACGACCCACATGGCCCTCATTATGTAACTCTTGAATGATCTTCAACCTCAAACTGCCCTCTGGAACACACAACTGATTGCCATGAAAAAGAAAACCATCAACCCATGTAAACTCCGACTGCACACCCTCCTGCAACTTCTGGGCAACATGGGAAAAGTATGGGTTAGTAGCATATAAGTCACACAACCTGTCAAAACCTGGAACCTCCACTCGCATTTCTATAAGGAGCGTTTGGCGCCTACTCAACGCATCCGCAATTTTGTTAAGGGCACTTGCCTTGTGCTTGATTACAAAAGTAAACTGCTGTAGATAAGCAATCCAAGAGGCATGTCGAGCAGAAACCTTATCCTGAGTACTAAGGTGTTTAAGGGCATCATGATCCGTGTACAAAATGAACTCCTTATGGAACAAATAGTGACGCCAATGTCGAACGGCCTGGACTATTGCATAGAACTCCACATCATAAGTACTATACCGAGACTTCGGGCAAGAAAGCTTCTCACTGAAATATGCAACAGGGTGGTTGTTCTGACTCAACACACCACCAATACCCACTTTCGAAGAATCACAATGGAGCTCAAATGGTTGGGTTAAGTCAGGCAACACCAAAACTGGAGCAGTAGTCAACTTCTACTTAATCAATTGGAAAGACGACTCTGCCTCGTGAGTCCACTGAAACCTACCATCCTTCATGCAATCTGTAATTGGCGCCATGATGCCACTGAAATGCGGTATGAACCTGTGATAGAAGGAAGCAAGGCCATGAAAACTCCGCACCTCAGTGACAGTCTTGGGCTGTGGCCATTGACTTATCGCCTCTACTTTAGATGTATCAACTGCTAATCCCACATTCGACACCACATAACCCAGGAACACCACACTATCAGTGAGAAAGGAACACTTCTTCACTGCAGCATAGAATTTATCCCTGCGAAGAACTGAAAGAACTTCCCGAAGGTGCCGAACATGTTCATCATCGTTAGCGCTATATATTAAAATATCATCAAAGTAGACCACAACAAATTTACCGATGAATGGGCGAAGAGCCTGATTCATAACCCGCATAAATGTACTGGGCGCATTTGAGAGGCCGAAGGGCATGACTAACCACTCGTACAATCCTTCCCTCGTCTTAAATGCGATCTTCCACTCATCTCCATGTCTGATCCGAATCTGATGGTACCTACTCTTAAAATCAAGCTTGCTAAACACACAAGCACCGGTAAGCTGATCCAACAAATCATCTAGGCGGGGAATAGGAAAGCGGTAACGCACCGTAATCTTATTGATTGCCCTACTATCCACGCACATGCGCCACGCGCCATCCTTCTTCGGTGTGAGAAGAGCAGGAACAGCACAAGGACTAAGACTCTCCCTGATGTGTCCTTTTGCCAAAAGCCCTTCAACTTGCCTGCGCAACTCTTCATGCTCAGTGGGGCTCATTCTGTAATGCGCTCTGTTAGGTAGGGCAGCTCCAGGCACCAAGTCAATCTGATGCTGAATATCCTGCAGTGGTGGTAGTCCATCAGGAAGCTCTTCTGGAAAAACCTCATCAAACTCCTTTAGCAATAGCTGAACTGCGAGAGGGACTTCATGCTCACTATCAACCGACTTTCCAGTCAGCACATACACTACCCCAGACTCCTCCATCTCTGTCTCGAACTTCTTTCTGGTCAGTAAATTGGCATTGTTCTCAACCGTCTGTACTGAACCGTTATCCGGTAGTAACACAATTTTCTTTCCCCCAAACAGAAAGTTGTACGTGTTGGTATATCCATCATGCAGTGACTGCCTATCAAACTACCACGGCCTCCCTAATAGTAAATTACATGCATCCATCTCTACTACATCACATAAGACCTGATCCTTGTAGGTAGGTCCGATGGAGAAGCTGATTCTAGCACGTTGAGACACTTCTACGTCATTGCCTCTTTTCAGCCAGGCTAATTTATAAGGTTTGGGATGTTTCTCAGTCTGCAAACCCAGCTTCTTAACGACCTCCTCAGCCACCACATTCTCGCAACTACCAGAATCAATAACAAATTTGCACACCTTCCCTCCAACTGTACATGTTGATTGAAAGATATTATTACGCAACCAATGAGTGTTATTCTCCAAAGGAGTCAGGAAACCAGTGCCTGACCCACATCACCAACTTGAAACTCTTCCTCTTCTGTTGCTTCTTCTCCACCCTCACCATCAAATACAGGCTGACCTTCATAATCGCCATTTCCCTCATCAACAAAGAGTCCCCTGCGTGGATTCTTTGAACACTCAGACTGTCTGTGGCCTGTAACTCCGCATCCAAAACAACGAATACCAACCCCAGGACGTGTTGGTT